CCCCGAGCGCAGGGACAGCTTCATGGCAACGGAGGCAGAGAGGCAATGTGTCCTGTCCCCATTCCCACAGACCCCAGAGATCCCAGAAAACCCGCAGATCCCAGAGACCTCAGAGACCCCAGAGATCCCAGACACCACAGACCCCACAGATCCCAGAGATCCCACATATCCCAGGGACCCCGGAGATCCCACAGATCCCAGAGACCCCACAGATCCCACAAACCTCACAGACCCCACAGATGCCAAAGATCCCAGAGACACCACAGATCCCAGAGATCCCAGAGACCCCACAGATTCCAGAAATCCCAGATCCCACAGATCCCTGTCCCCCCGTATGGGGTGGGGATACACACCCAGAGGATGAGGATAGAACATCCTTGTGGGACTCTGACCTGTTCCCCACACCCAGAGGATGAGGATGGATCCCAACCCTGTCCTGGCCTGTGCCCCACACCCAGAGGATGAGGATGGAGCCCATCCCAGTCCTGGCCTGTGCCCCACACCCAGAGGATGAGGATGGAGCCCATCTCTGTCTAACCCTGACCTGTTCCCCACACCCAGAGGATGAGGATGGAGCCCATGCCTGTCTAACCCTGGCCTGTTCCCCACACCTAGAGGATGAGGATGGAGCCCAGCCCTGTCCTGGCCTGTTCCCCACACCCAGAGGATGAGGATGGAGCCCATGCCTGTCTAACCCTGGCCTGTTCCTCACACCCAGAGGATGAGGATGGAGCCCATGCCTGTCTAACCCTGGCCTGTGCCCCACACCCAGAGGATGAGGATGGAGCCCATGCCTGTCTAACCCTGGCCTGTGCCCCACACCCAGAGGCACACGCTGCTCCAGGACATGGGATGGTGTCACTGAGTGTGCAGTGACACCCCGACATGCACAGGGACAGACAAAGTGCACACAAAGCACAGCTGGAGAGAGGGCTGGGGCGTGGGGCTGCCCTGCAAACACAAACTGCAGGCTGGCACACGCCTGCTTGGACAGCAGCAGGAATTTGCCCATGGAAAGGGTGCTCAGGCCGTGGCACTGCCCAGGGAGGGTTGGAGTGCCCATCCCTGCAGGTGTCCAGGGCAGGCCTGGGTGTGGCACTCAGTGCTGGGGACAAGGTGGCACTGGGCGCAGCTGGACTCCATGGTCTGGAGGGATTTTCCAGCCTGAATTCAGGCTCTGGCACTGCTGGGGTTTGGATCCCTGCCAGCACCCGGCTCCTCAGCCAGGGACACTCAGGGTCCATCCCAGGCGAGGGCATCAGGGCATGGCCATGGCCTTTCCCACCAAAACCTCACCTGGAAGGTTCAAAAGCAGATTATGGACCACACACACAAAGGCCTGCGCTGGGGGACACAGGGGGACATGGCAGGACCCTGCACACTCCCCTGCCAGGACCCAGCACATTCCCCTGCCAGGACCCAGCACATTCCCCTGCCAGGACCCTGCACACTCCCCTGCCAGGACCCTGCACACTCCCCTGCCAGGACCCGGCACAGCCCCCTGCCAGGACCCGGCACAGCCCCCTGCCAGGACCCGGCACATCCCCTGCCAGGACCAGGCACATTCCCCTGCCAGGACTGGGCATATCCCCCTGCCAGGACCCTGCACACTCCCCTGCCAGGACCCAGCACACTCTCCTGCTAGGACCCAGCACATCCCCTGCTAGGACCCAGCACATCCCCTGCCAGGACCCAGCACATCCCCTGCCAGGAGCTGGCACATCCCCCTGCCAGGACCAGGCACATCCCCCTGCCAGGACCCTGCAGAGCCCCCTGCCAGGACCCTGCACATCCCCCTGCCAGGACCCAGCACATCCCCTGCCAGGACCCGGCACATTCCCCTGCCAGGACCCGGCACACTCCCCTGCCAGGACCCAGCACACTCTCCTGCTAGGACCCAGCACATCCCCTGCCAGGACCCGGCACATTCCCCTGCCAGGACCCGGCACACTCCCCTGCCAGGACCCAGCACACTCTCCTGCTAGGACCCAGCACATCCCCTGCCAGGACCCGGCACATTCCCCTGCCAGGACCCGGCACACTCCCCTGCCAGGACCCAGCACACTCTCCTGCTAGGACCCAGCACATCCCCTGCCAGGACCCGGCACATTCCCCTGCCAGGACCCGGCACACTCCCCTGCCAGGACCCAGCACACTCTCCTGCTAGGACCCAGCACATCCCCTGCCAGGACCCGGCACATTCCCCTGCCAGGACCCGGCACACTCCCCTGCCAGGACCCAGCACACTCTCCTGCTAGGACCCAGCACATCCCCTGCCAGGACCCGGCACATTCCCCTGCCAGGACCCGGCACACTCCCTTGCCAGGACCCTGCACACTCCCCTGCCAGAACTGGGCACATCCCCTGCCAGGACCCAGCACACTCCCCTGCCAGGACCCTGCACACTCCCCTGCCAGGACCATGCACACTCCCCTGCCAGGACCCGGCACACTCCCCTGCCAGGACCCAGCACATTTCCCTGCCAGGACCCTGCACACTCCCCTGCCAGGACCCTGCACATCCACTCCCTTGCCAGGACCCTGCACACTCCCCTGCCAGAACTGGGCACATCCCCTGCCAGGACCCAGCACACTCCCCTGCCAGGACCCTGCACACTCCCCTGCCAGGACCCAGCACATCCCCCTGCCAGGACCCAGCACACTCCCCTGCCAGGACCCAGCACATTTCCCTGCCAGGACCCGGCACACTCCCCTGTGTGCTGCTCGCTCCTGCTGCCATTCGCTTTTCAGCTTTAATTCTGGCGCGGATAAAGTGGGCCCGGCAGGACCCGGGGACAGCAGAGTGACCAGGCTGTGTCCCCACGAGGGTGGCAGCTGCATGGGGACAGCAGTGTGACCAGACCATGTCCCCACGAGGGACAGCACCCGGGGACAGCAGCGTGGGGACATCACGTTCCCATCAGGGATGTGACCAGGCCGTGTCCCCAGGGACGTGGCAGGTGTGTGGGGACAGCGGTGTGACCAGACCATGTCCCCAGTAAGGGTGGCAGCTGCCTGGGGACAGAGATGTGACTGGACCTTGTCCCAAGGGAGGGTGGCAGCTGCCTAGAATATAGGAATGTGGCCGGATCCTGTCCCCAGGGATAGTGGCAGATGCCTGGGGACAGGGATGTGACCAGGCTGTGTCCCCAGGGAGGGTGGCAGCTGCCTAGAATATAGGAATGTGGCCGGATCCTGTCCCCAGGGAAGGTGGCAGCTGCTTGGGGACATCAGCATGATCAGGCCATGTCCCCAGGGATGGTGGCAGCTGCCCGGGGACAGGGATGTGACCAGGCTGTGTCCCCAGGGAAGGTGGCAGCTGCCTGAGGACAGCAGAATGGCCTAAACCCTGTCCCCAGGGAGGGTGCAGCTGCCCGGGGACAGGGATGTGACCAGGCTGTGTCCCCAGGGAGGGTGGCAGCTGCCTAGAATATAGGAATGTGGCCGGACCCTGTCCCCAGGGATAGTGGCAGATGCTTGGGGACATCAGCATGATCAGGCCATGTCCCCAGGGATGGTGGCAGCTGTTTGGGGACAGGGATGTGACCAGGCTGTGTCCCCACAGAGAGTGGCAGCTTCCTGGGGATAGAGATGTGGCTGGACCTGTCCCCAGGGAGGGTGGCAGCTGCTTGGGGACAGTAGTGTGACCTGGCTGTGCCCCCAGGGAGGGTGGCAGCTGCCTAGAATATAGGAATGTGGCTGAACCTTGTCCCCAGGGAAGGTGGCAGCTGGCTGAGGACAGCAGCATGGCCAAACCCTGTTTGGGGCAGGAGGGTTCCTGATCAGGGGGGTTCCCGGGCAGGGGGGTCCCCGGTCAGGGGGGTTCCCGGGCAGGGGGGTTCCCGGGCAGGCTCCTCCTGCCCCCAGCCCCCCGAGCCCCCCAGCAGCTCCTGCTCCCGAGCTGTTTGAACTCGCCATTGACGCAGCGCTGTTTGTTTTCATTCCCCTCCATCCCCCCAGCTGTGGCACCGAGAGCAGGGATCAGGAAACAATAAAATCTCGGTTACCACACAGAATGCCGCCTTTCCCCTGGCTCCTTTCAAAGCCTGACATTTTTGCTTTCATCCGCCATTTCCACAGCGCTAGGGCATGTGCTGCCCCCCCGCCGGCGGGGCCCCGAGTGGGGGTCCCGGAGCTGCGCTCAAGATGCTCCAGATTGTTCCATCGGCACCTCCCGGGGCTCCTCGGGCTCCGGTTCCCCTCCCGGGGCTCCCCCGGCTGGCATGGCACGGGCTGCAAGCGTTATCTGTCCCAGCTGTCCCAGGTTTGCTGCCCTGCCTTGGGCTGGTGGCTGGAGGTTTCAGGGGGGCACCGCAGGAGCGAAGGGTCTGCTGCTGGGAGCACCCAGCCTCTGCTCCTGGGAGCACCCAGCCCCAGCTCTGGGAGCACCCAGCCTCTGCTGCTGGGAGCACCCAGCCCCAGCTGCAGGCTGCTCTGCCCCCGGATTCTCTGCACTCAGGGGGACACGGGCAGGGTCTGATTGCCCTGTCCTTAAATAAAAAACAGCAGCCTGGGAGCTTCATGGGAGCTGGAGGGCAGCGGAGTGAGGATTGTCCCCATATAGCAGAGAAGGGCAGAGAAGCCATCTCCTGGCCCAGGGAACATCAAATTCACAGGATCAGGGAATGGTTTAGGTTGGGAGGGATTTTGAATCCCATCCCATTCCCACCCCTGCCACGGCAGGGACACTGCCACTGTCCCAGGTGCTCCCAGCCCCAGTGTCCAGCCTGGCCTTGGGCACTGCCAGGGATGCAGGGGCAGCCACAGCTGCTCTGGGCACCCTGTGCCAGGGCCTGCCCACCCTGCCAGGGCACAATTCCTCATTCCCAAAATCCCATCCAGCCCTGCTCTCTGGCATTCCCTGGGTCCTGTGGTGGCAGAGGGCTCTGCAGCCACGCTGGGTGTGTCCACGGGCTGCTCTTGCCCCAGTGTTTTCCAGGAAAACTGCACAAAACTGGGGAAAGCCATGCCAGGCAGGGGTGAGGAGGAGTGGCACAGCACCTGGCCGTGGCAGGAGGGACAGGGAGCACCGGGGTGACACGATGTCCTGAAGGCCACAGCTGGCTGCCCTCCCAGGCAGGAGCCCTTTGGTGCATCCTTCCCAGGATCCACGCTGAGCAGCAGAACTTGGGGTGGTTCTGGGGCAGGACTCGGGTCCAAAGAGCTCTGGGGAGAAGGACCAGAAGGAATGGCCTCTGATCAGCTCCAGCTTTGTCCAAGGCACCCCTGGGATTCCTGCGGGGCAGGGAGAGCTCCAGGACAGGTCTGCACAGGGAGCTGGAGCAGGCTGGGGCAGGCAGCAGCCACACACATCCACAACAAAGAGGAGCCTCGGTAATCCGGGATGAGCTCTGCTCCCTTGCACAGCGTGGAGAAAGAGTCCTGGGGGCCGGGGGGACACAAAGGGCCCGGGCCAGGAGCCCCCAGCTGAGCGTGAGCTGCTGGGACAGCCGTGGCCGGGGACACGCACGGAGCAGCAGGCCTGGGAAAGCTGAAAGGATGGAGTGTCTGAAAGCATCACTTGTGACCGTGAGACACAGGCGTGAAATCTCCCGGCAGTCACACCCAGAGCAGGAGCCCTGCAGGCTCTGGGGCTGTCCCTGAAGGGTTTGTGATCTGCCGCTCGGCATCCTCCTGAAATCCAGGAGAAAACTGGCTCTGAAAGACAACCCCGGGCTGGAGGATCCAGGAGGAATTCCTCGGGGATCCATCCACTTCATATTGTAATTAGGAGCACAAAAATAACCTGGCTCTAATGACACTTCCTGATGACATAAAGGTTAGGATGAGTCATTAGCACAGAGGCAGTGCAGAGCCTCACACACGCTCTGGAGGCTGGGCTGGCGTGGGGAGCACTCACTGCTGACAACGCGGGGTGTGAGCCCAGCTCAGGCAGCAGGGCAGCCCCAGGCACTGCCCCAACCCACCCCCAAACCCCCAACCTGGGATTCCTGCGGGGCAGGGACAGCTCCAGGACAGGTCTGCACAGGGAGCTGGAGCAGGCTGGGGCAGGCAGCAGCCACACACATCCACAACAAAGAGGAGCCTCGGTAATCCGGGATGAGCTCTGCTCCCTTGCACAGCGTGGAGAAAGAGTCCTGGGGGCCGGGGGGACACAAAGGGCCCGGGCCAGGAGCCCCCAGCTGAGCGTGAGCTGCTGGGACAGCCGTGGCCGGGGACACGCACGGAGCAGCAGGCCTGGGAAAGCTGAAAGGATGGAGTGTCTGAAAGCATCACTTGTGACCGTGAGACACAGGCGTGAAATCTCCCGGCAGTCACACCCAGAGCAGGAGCCCTGCAGGCTCTGGGGCTGTCCCTGAAGGGTTTGTGATCTGCCGCTCGGCATCCTCCTGAAATCCAGGAGAAAACGGGCTCTGAAAGACAACCCCGGGCTGGAGGATCCAGGAGGAATTCCTCGGGGATCCATCCACTTCATATTGTAATTAGGAGCACAAAAATAACCTGGCTCTAATGACACTTCCTGATGACATAAAGGTTAGGATGAGTCATTAGCACAGAGGCAGTGCAGAGCCTCACACACGCTCTGGAGGCTGGGCTGGCGTGGGGAGCACTCACTGCTGACAACGCGGGGTGTGAGCCCAGCTCAGGCAGCAGGGCAGCCCCAGGCACTGCCCCAACCCACCCCCAAAGCCCCAAAGCCCCAAAGCCCCAAAGCCCCAAATCCCTGCAGAACGGGTCCAGAGAGAGGAGCTTGAAACGGAAAAGGAAAAATGGGTGGGGGAGACACAAACTCTGCTCTCCATCTTAGCAAAAGGAAAACCTCAAGGGCAGGACCTCGAAAGGAGTGGATCCACGGGATATCCACGGGATATCCACGGGATATCCACGGATAATGACAGGGACAAAGGCTGCTAGTGGAATGGGGCAGCACAGCAAGAACAGTTTGTGCTGCTCAGGCACAAACTCCAAAGTGAAGCTCAGCATTTTTGGAGCATTTCAGCTCAAGCCAGGTCTGCGAGAGCTCCCCAGTGAACTGTGCAAGTGCTTCCTCCTCCCCAGAGCAGCAGACCCCGCTCAGGACCAGCCCCTGGGCCTCAGGGTGGGGACAAGGATGAAGTCACAGCTGCGGGGCAGCTCCTCCTCATCCAGGGAGCATTTCTGCCCTCCTGCAGCCCAGACCCTCAGCATCAACCTCTGCTGACACCTTCCCAAAGGCAGCTTGGGCCTAGGAGGCCCTGCACAGCTGCTGGAAGAGGTTTTTAGGGGTTTTTTTACCTACTGATATCTATTTTTAATAAATCTTGAAGGAACAGGGAAATTCCAGTGGCATAATCGCATTTTCCGGGATAATAATGAAAGGAAAAGGGGAATGACAGGGAAGCTCACATCAGTGAGAAACAGGAAAAAGGGCAGAAAAGCTGAGGGGAGAGGGGAACAGCACAAAAAGACAGGATTGTGGCAGAGGATTGGTACCAGGAGCTTTTGGCTGTGGCAGAGGGAGGAGGAGCTGGGAATGCTGAGGGGAACACCAGAGCCAAACTCTTCTGGAGACCACAGGCAGAGGGGAGATGGTGCTGACGAGGGGAGAAAAGCCAAGCAGAGGCATTAATTAAAGAAATAAAACATAACAATAACAATAACAATAACAATAACAATAATAATAATACTAAAAAATTAAAGATTTGGAATGACCTGGGGACACTCCCCTTAGCCCAAAGGTTGGGAGGAGCTGACTTGGCTGCTGTAGGTTAGCAGGATGGAAATGCAGGACAGAGATGGGCCAGGAGATGTAAAACCAAGCCCAGCTGAGTTAAACCAAGCCCAGCTGAGTTAAACCAAACCCAGCAGAGGCCAGACCTGGCCATGCTGGGCTGGAGACAAGGTGTTCCCCAGCCTGGGGTTCAGCACGGCAGGAATGGGAATTCAGAGCCACGGATCCTTTGCTCCACCACGTTCTCACAACAGCACCAGGGACACTTCTGGTTCACACGGTGAACACAGAATGGAATTGTACTGCATTCACAACCTGAGTCAAGCAGGTGAATTGGCCTGGGGAAGTCTTTATACAACACCCCCATTTCCTACGTTTAGACATTTCCAATTTCTGCACAGAAGTGGAGAAGTGCAGCAGAAGCAGCGGCAGTGGAGCAGCTGTCTTCCCGAGGAATGGAAACGTTTCAGACACTTTGAAAAGACTGCTTTGAGGGGAAAACCACCTGACTCATGGAAAGAAAGATGACAAAGCTACACATTATTGTTCCTCTCAAGAGAGAAGAGGCTGTGCACGTAAAACCCAATTACTGCACTGTCTGAACTCTCTGAGCTTGCATCTCCTGCGAGCTGCAGCTCCAACGCTGGAAGGGAACCACCCCGAAAAGGGCTGGGCAGGGGGGTGCACAGGGAGGAATGACTGGGGCAGGGAGAGCCCTGCCAGCCCAACCAGTGCCAGCTGTGCCTGGCCCCACAGGGCACTGAGTGCCACATCCTGGCACCCCTCCAGGGCCGTTCAGAGCCCCAGAGAGCCGTGCCACCTGCAGGACATCACCCGAGGAGCCGTGCAGAGGCAGCTCGGGATGAGGAGCAGCACGCCCAGGAGGGGCTGCACGTTTGGGATGTTCTGGTGGCAGCCGGGGGAGGCAGGGAGGGAGGCAGGGAAGAGTAATTCTGGTTCCAAACTGAGCCCCCGAGGCTCCTCTGACGTGTGTGGAGGAAAGGAGGTGTGGAGTCATTCTGGGGGAGAGTGCTGTGGGGTGGTGATGGAAACAACACGCTGTGCCCGAGGATTAATCATTAATTAATGATGTGGCTTCAGCTGCTGCAGGGGAGGGAACACTGCCTGCATCCACAGGGCTGCTCATCTGCTGGGCTGGCACGGCAGGAGGAAGGCTCAGAGCAGCTCCAGGCTGCTGCAGGACCTTGGGAACTGCAGCTCAAGGTTCGAGCTGCTTGGAAAAGAGGAGAGGAGGGAGCCAGCAGAGACAGAATGTGGGCGAGGACAGAAAACTCGGGAAAATATTTAAATTCCTCCTGGCTTCCATCATTTCCTGGAACGCTTTCCCAATATTTTATGCAGTCCTCAAGGACTCTGGAGACTTGGGAAGCTGTGTGCTGGAGGTGAGCACTGCCAAGGCAGGTGCTGCTGTAGCCCGAGCTGGTGCCAGGAGAGCCAGAGCTGTGCCATGGCCAGGGCTGGGCCAGCTCTGCTTCCCTTGGGAACACGGATCTGGCTGCCCACGGGGCCACAGGCTCCAGGAAGTGCCACTTGCAGGGCAGGGACAGGAGAGAAATCCTGGGAAAACCCTGCATTGTCCATGAGGGATGAGGGCACAGGGACAGGAGCTGCTGGGATGGGAGGAATCCTGGGAAAATCCCACATTGTCCATGAGGGACAAAGGCACAGGGACAGGAGCTGCTGGGATGGGAGGAATCCTGGGAAAATCCCACATTGTCCATGAGGGACAAGGTCACAGGGACAGGAAGGGCACCAGCTCTTGGAGCCAGGACTTCCATCATTTCCTGGAACGCTTTCCCAATATTTTATGCAGTCCTCAAGGACTCTGGAGACTTGGGAAGCTGTGTGCTGGAGGTGAGCACTGCCAAGGCAGGTGCTGCTGTAGCCCGAGCTGGTGCCAGGAGAGCCAGAGCTGTGCCATGGCCAGGGCTGGGCCAGCTCTGCTTCCCTTGGGAACACGGATCTGGCTGCCCACGGGGCCACAGGCTCCAGGAAGTGCCACTTGCAGGGCAGGGACAGGAGAGAAATCCTGGGAAAACCCTGCATTGTCCATGAGGGACGAGGGCACAGGGACAGGAGCTGCTGGGATGGGAGGAATCCTGGGAAAATCCCACATTGTCCATGAGGGACAAGGTCACAGGGACAGGAAGGGCACCAGCTCTTGGAGCCAGGACATGAACAGCAAAGTGTGATCAGCCCTTCCTCAGCTGGATCCATCACCAGCTCAACCCCTCCCTTTTGGGGCTCTGTGGGATGCTTTGAGCAATGAGAACTGCAGGGAGTGACTGGTGGAGAGGCCACAGAGGCTCTGTGACACTGCCCGTGGCTGGGGACAGTTCTGGCCCTCGGGGAGGAGCTGGCTCCCAGAGACACAGAGCAATCCTGGGCTGGTTTGGTGGGAAAAGCTCCTTCCATCCCCCCCCTGCCATGGCAGGGACACCGCCACTGCCCCAGGGTGTCCCAGTGCCCAGCC